TTTATTATTTGTACATTAAAAACCATAATGGACTTTAAAAAAATAATATGTATAATGACTGTATGTCAAAACTGGAGATTTAACATTCCAGAGTTGAATTAAAACCTGCTTTCTCTATTGCATTTATCCCAGAAAGTCAGTGCTGAACTTAAATGAGCTGGGTCAGGTGAATGGTTTAGCTGGCGGAGCAGCTGGAGGTGAAGATGAGGAGCTTCCAGCCCCACATGAGTTGGGAGAGGAGCTGAAATTCACTGGGAGGTATATAACTGAAAAGGATTATACCACTCCAGTTACAGTATGTTTAATTCTGCATTTCTAAATGAGCACCCTACTCTGTTTAAACAGGATTGGTGGTGGATTATGGCTGGATATCAAAAGGAAGATCCCATGGTATTGCAGTGATATTTATGATGGTTTCCATATCCAGTCCATCTCTGCTGTGCTATTCATCTACCTAGGCTGCATCACCAATGCTATCACCTTTGGAGGACTACTAGGGGATGCTACTGACAATTACCAGGTTAGAGAGCTGCAAAGTAATACATAGCACATAGCACATAGCACAAAACTTGACATATTATTATCTGTTCCCTATTTTTCTCATAGGGAGTGATGGAGAGTTTTCTTGGCACTGCTTTAGCAGGAAGTGTCTTTTGCTTGTTTGGAGGACAGCCTCTCATCATTTTGAGTTCAACTGGACCCATTCTCATCTTTGAAAAACTGCTTTATGAGTTCAGCAAGTAAGATGCACTAGAACACAGTTAAATTCTATATAAAAAAAAAAGTCTAACATAAACATAAACATCTCTACCTTATATCATTGTCAATACAGAAACAATGATGTGGATTATATGGAGCTTCGTCTGTGGATTGGCCTTCACTCGTGTCTGCAGTGTTTTTTACTGGTTTTTTCAGATGCTAGCTACATCATCAAATATATGACCCGATTCACAGAGGAGGGTTTCTCCAGCCTCATTTCTTTTATATTCATTTCTGATGCAATCAAGAAGATGGTAGGTAATATTCTTTAATCTAATATGGTTAAGCATCCAATGTTTTTTGCTTCTATCCTTACATCTCCTTTTATCGTACACTCTGCAAACATTTCACACAACAGAGACACAACACTTATGATGCACCATAGTACAGAGCCCATAAAGTCCAGTAAGCTGACATTAAAAAAAATCTGGCACACACTAGATAATTATCTTGTAGGAAAAAAAATTCTCACAAGATAAGTTTCTTACAGGAAAACAGATGATCTTGTGCATAAAAATTATTATTTTATGCATACAAGTTATAATCCAATCTTCTGTGTAGAAGAATATACATTTGTGCAAAAATATCTTGTGCAAGAAAAAAAATGACGATGGGAATTTAGATGTTACACAAAGAGAAAAATGGTTTGTTCTTCGCAGGTCGGAGCGTTTAAATATTACCCAATCAACCGTGGCTTCAAACCTGATTACATTACAGCTTATAAGTGTGAATGCATCGCTCCAGACCAGGGTGAGTCTTCAAACTATTTTTTTTTTATTATTTTATGTTAATATTTAATTTAATTTAATTTTCTTTTATTGTTGGGGTGGGGTGGACATGGCAATGACCAGGTACAGATTACAGAAATGAGATGGAGCTTGTTAATACATGAGCATCAGAGGATTTGATTGGTGTGTCTTTGAACTCTGGAAATATAGAGGGTTACCTGTTTCTTCCTGCTTCCACTCCATTTGCAATGCTGAGCTCCTTTAATTGTATGTTGATATATCTAATTATATCATAAATCCCCAGGAGATTGATATTGGTCTTTCCATGTCAGTATGGAAAAGGGGCGAGCAATGAGATGATCTTGTACAAAACATAGAAGATGATGTCTTCTATGCTTTGTATGGTGGCCCACAAATAAAATGTATGATTATTACTATGTGACACACACTTAATGGCCACAAGTATCAGGTCAAATCCCTTAGTTTTTGAATCCAGTTGTTTTTGGTCCCATTGCCACAGGTGTATAAAATCAGGGACCTGGCCATGCAGTCTGCCTGGATCTGGGTTGTTCTAATGAGTTCACTGAATTTGGGGATAGTACTATAACAGGATGCCACTGGCACAACAATTCAGCCTGTGAAATTTCATCCTTTCCAAGACTAAATTTCATAAGTGACAAACCATGTACATTTACAAAGTGTGGTCACTAGGTGCAGTTCACATTAAATAATAGTTCCCATCACTGACTGCAGCGTCCTAAACGCCTTCCTTCTCCTTCAGTTAACATCAGCACAGTGCACCAAGAGCTTTGTTGTATGGGTTTTCGAGCAGCCCCTGTAGGCAATGTGTAGATGGCTCAGTATTTTTGTCCATCTATTTATACACTGTGTGTATGTAAGGTGTTTGGAATCAATTTTGGATACATTTAATTAAGTTACTTTTTAGCATCATTAATAGACTTAGGAAGTCCCTCTACCTTTTTAAATGCATTGCAAAGAAAATATTAGGATACTGTGAAAAACTATTTGCTCCCTTCCTGATTTCATTTGTACTTTTCCCCCTATTTGTCACTGTTGCATGTTTCAGATCATCAAACAAATTTTAACATTAGACAAAGATAACCTGAGTAAATGCAGTTCTTAAATTATTATTTCATGTGCTAAGGCAAAAAAGATTAATCAATATCATCTGTGAAAAAGTAATTGCCCCCTCATAACTGGTTGTGGTACCTTTGGCAGCAAGAAGTGCCATCAAGCATTTGCGATAACTGCCAGAGAATCTTTCTTATGGCTCTGGATCTGAATCCAAAGCATTGAAATCAGATTTAAGTTCACATTGTATCAGGTAGGTTTGGATATTTTTTTTCCTTAAGGAATGAAATCATCATTTTAAAAACTGTATTTGTATTTATTTATTTTATCTTTGTCTAATATTAAAACATGTTTGGTTGTCTGTGTTCCTGATGGACATATTTGATTGCATAAGAAGCATGTGTTTAGTTTTTACTCTGTCATGATTTTGTGTACTTTTTTTTCTGCTTCATTTTTGAATGCTCACTAAAAAAGTGAGTACGCATCTAAATATCTCTTGTAAACATTCCAATATAATGAAAAAATAGTGATTGAACTGGGATATAGAAAGTTATATTGCATTATTAACACTATTACGTAAAGCTTTACATTTTACATCATCCATCATTCATTCTTTTTTTCTTTCTCTTCTTCAACTTATGCCTTTTCCTCTTCAGCACCTGCACTGGGCTTGAATGCTTCAGCTCCACTTGCAGATGATAATATGACTCTGCTGGTAAGTGACAGAAGACCGCAAAGAGTTACATTGGCGTCACTTTCATGAATTTTCATTATTCCCATTGGTGAAAATAATTTGTATCTCAGTTTATTTGGCTGTTTTGATCTGCAAATGTTATGATATGAACAAATTTGAACTAAAGACTGAGTGAAGTAATTGAGGCCCCTATTTATCAAGCATTTTAGTGAAGGAAGTTAGCCTGGGATAATAATTCTTTAGCTGCGCCAACTTTAAACACTTTTTCAGCTTTCTTAAATTATGTAATGAATCCTAATTTAATTTAATTTAATCATAATTTATTTTTTTTTATTTTTTTTGTCATTTACTAAACAAAACGGAACCCTTTTGATTTAGAAAAAAATGGCTGTCATCCATTTTTAACAAATTGCTTTGACTTTTTTTTCAGATAAAATGGTTTATATTTAATGCATTTAGAATTATGATGTGGTGTGCATAAACTCTATGTTGTTACTAAAATATCTCACATTGACTCAAGAGTTGGGAGTTAGCCTTGTAATCGGAAGGTTCCTGGTTCGAGCCCCAGCTTGGACAGTCTCAGTCGTTGTGTCCTTGGGCAAGACACTTCACCCGTTGCCTACTGGTGATGGTCAGAGGGCCCGGTGGCGCCAGTGTCCGGCAGCCTCGCCTCTGTCAGTGCGCCCCAGGGTGGCTGTGGCTACAATGTAGCTTACCATCACCAGTGTGTGAATGTGTGTGTGAATGGGTGGATGACTGGATGTGTAAAGCGCTTTGGGGTCCTTAGGGACTAGTAAAGCGCTATACAAATACAGGCCATTTACCATTTACCATTGATTTGCAAAGTCAAGTTTTTGTGGCCTAGAATTAAATGTTGTTTGTGTTGCAATCTTTGCTCTTCACTGGAGTGAGGGGAGGCTCTGGACAGTGCATGCTCAATCAGTAGCAACCTGTCACTAACTGTCAAGGAAGGCCCACCCATTTCAACATCCTTCTGGACACTCCTAAGGATCATAATTTTAAAAATGAATATCACATTGTATTCAAAACAACTTGAAATGGAGTCCATTAACCCACTCTAAAGTGTTTACTGACATTAGAGAATTAAGGAAACCAAAATGTTTTTTTCATTGACTCCTCACCTGGCTATTAGAAAGAACTGCTGAGGCTCAAGACACTTCCACTTTGGCTTTAATTTTTAGACTGTAGAATCTACACCTAGTTCTAGATGTCTCTTTTTTTTCCAGCCACAAAATGCTATGCTGGTCAGTATAACTCTATTTTACCAGATCTAAAATTGTACCTCCTTTTATACTACATGTCATAGTCATACAGGAATTTTTTGGCCGAGACAAAACAACTTTTCTTCGTAAGTATATTACACAGAGAGATTGCGATGTAGACAGGACCAGCCACAGTTTTAATGACAATCTTAGATAGTGGACAACCTCCTGAATGACACTCATAGCATTCATTAATGTTAAAAGGCAAAAACACGAACTTTTATATTTTGCCCTATATTCACAAGAGAAAAAAATATGACCAGTAAAGTTCCCCTACAGATGGCAGATACTACTACTAAAGAGTTTTGGGGTTGTTACTATAAGAGTGATACATATATACAGACTGATGAATTTTGATTGATCAGTCCATAATACCTTCTTCCAGTCTTCAGTAGTCCAATGGCGGTGTTTCATGTCCCAGGAAAGCCTCTTTGTCTTATTCTGACTTTTTACCAATGGCTTTCTTGCTGCAGCTCATCCTGTCAAACCTGAGCTCGAAGTCTTCTCTTCACAGTTGAAACTGAGGCTTACTTACTATGACTACTATTAAGCTGTGCTTCAAGCTGTTGTCCTGTGAGCTGCCTATCACGCAAGCTGTTAACTCTCAGAAACTTGTCCTCTGATTCAGTTTTGGCTCGCATCAACATCTCCAGCATGGTCAGTGGCATGGTCAGAGACAACATGAAATAGAGCCGGCTTGCAGATTTGCAATCCTCTGAGTGAAGAGATTGCTACATTTCACAGGATCATATATGGCTGTTAGCACACGCCATGTAGCGTACGCACTCTTCCCCTGGGCCCAGCTACTCATAAACTTGTGCAGAGAGCTGGACATACTGTATTGAACAATGATAGTGTGTGATTAGATCCTCAAAGCTTCACAATTCTTGGATGAATGATGATGAAATTTTGCTCTGTTATTAACCTACATTAAATGAATAGCTTTAGCTGACTTGTGTTTAAAGATGGTTATTTTAGAGTGTTTAAATACTCAGATTCAGTGTACTGATACTGACTGTAGGTGACCTCGGCTGGCTGGAAGTCAAGCATTGTTTTTAAAGCAGATTTTTCTGATGGCTACCCTAATTATTATACAGCTTTTAAAAAACTGTATAATACTTAAGCATTATTTAAAAGTGTTAGTCTATTCCTCAGAAAGCAGCAGGAAAAGGATACAAATTCCATCATGATTTTTAATTTGCAACTCTAAATTTCATAAAGCTGGGATACAATGCTTTCTCCTATGTGGCAACATTTTTAAAAAATAATGTAAAGGTCCAGAATGAAGTTCAGTGTGATTCCTATAATTGAGTCCAGTTACTTGATAAATATGGGCCAAGACAGGGCTGTTAATCCAGCCATCAGAAAGCACTGTGGCTTTCAGTTATATGTGTTGTGTTTTTTTCTTTTGTTATTGCTTGTTTTTTTTTTCTCTTTCTTTTGTCTGCTTTTTCTCCACTCCGCTACCTATCCATCAATTTTCCCTTCTCTGCTATGTTTCTTCCTTCCTCATCTCTTCGTTTCTTGAACCCCCCCCATCCTTCATCCTCTCGATTCTCTACTTTTGCTTCTCCTTCTGCCGTTGTCGTTTTTAGTTTAACTTAACAGATCTGGACTGGAGTCAGCTGAGTAAGAAAGAATGTGTCAAGTATGGTGGTATGCTGGTGGGGAACTCCTGTAAGTATGTTCCTGACCTGGCCCTCATGTCCTTCATCCTCTTCTTTGGCACCTACTCCATGACAGTTTCTCTTAAGAAGTTCAAGTTTAGCCGCTACTTCCCAACAAAGGTAAGCAAATCCTTATACTCAATAACTGCACAAAGAAAACTCTCCCAGGCTGCCTTTAATTCCTGCATGTGAAATGCTGGTTTCCTTTCATTTGATGTTATGCCTATAATTACAACATCAAAGTAGTGACATTTAAAGAACAACACTGGTGATATTCCTTTTAAGGTCCTTTTAAGGTCATACCAAGTAGGCTATTCTAAAACTCATTTTTACTATAATCAGTCACTTAGACTAAAAGGCTAGTTTCACAGCCTCTTCAAGTGAGATGATCTGCTTGTTTAGCTATTTTAGCATCTGAATGGTTCAGTTTTCAGTTTTCATGCAAGCACTTAGGCTTCACAGAGGACTGAAAACATCCAAACTTGTATACTTCTGTAAGGTTGCATGATGAAAATGAAGAGCAACAACTAAATACCAATGAGACTTTGGAACAGATGAGAAATAATAAAGTATTGTTTGGCTACTATAAACAGAAGCACTTTCAATTTCTCACAAGATTTAGAGTGAGTGTTAAATTGTTCTCAATAAAATGACACATCATAGGAAGTGCCTAATAGGCAAAGACAAATGCCATCATACTGCGAGAAGACATCCAAACGTCTGGCAAGAGATTTCTGGCATGGCATAATTATATGTACCTTGTCTATTTACTTACGTAGTCCATCTAAATATACTCATTAGAAATGTAGAATATTACCAGTGTTTTACTTTAAAACTTCACCTACACAGTATGTGCTCGTTATCCAGACAACCAACCTTACACTTCCATATGTTTACCAGAATGTTCTCTCCATGTTGTTTTCCCCCCACTGCTTTCCACGTATGTGCTCCAGCTTCGCACACTGATCAGTGATTTTGCCATCATCATTTCTATCCTGGTCTTCTGTGGGTTGGATTGTCTGTTGGCGCTGGACACACCCAAACTGCACGTACCCACTGAACTCAAGGTCAACCCTTTCCTAAATACCTCTCTCATCTTGTCAGACCTTGTTCTTAGGACACTGCTGGCCACTCAATTCTTTCCTCAGCAATGTAGTTGTTTACACATTACACTAAACAGGATTTGGAGTGTGTGGATTGATCAATTTTACACTTTAACTGAGTAAATAATCTCTTTTTTCTTTTCACTGTCTTGCTTTCCTCATGTATCTACCACTTTCTTATACTTAAACGTATGTCTCCCGTCATCACTTTTACTGTGCACATTTGTCTTTGCCCTCCTTTTGTCCTGTGTAATTGTATATGGACTGACCTATAGCTGAGGAAGCTAATCAGTGACTTTGCCATCTTCATGTCAATCATGTCCTTTGTGGGTCTCGATATGCTGATGGGGTTAGACACACCCAAACTTATTGTGCCAACAGAGTTCAAGGTATTTGATTTTTCACAAAATCATTTTTTAAAAAATATATATATTCTGTCACTTCAAAGAATAATTATACTTTTAACAAGAGCACTCAATGAGCCCAACTCCCCCCAAGCAGCAAGAGTTATACTAAAACTTATACTGATGTCAGCGTTGGTAATGTGGAAATCCCCAATTATGACATTGCTTTCGTAGATCATTTATGCTGATGTCAGAACAATATGGAAATCTTTTGCAGTATATTCATCTCTTTGTGTCATCATGAAGTCATAATGTTGTATTGGAAAAGAAAAAAAGTTTTTGAAGAGCTCAAAAAGAAAATGTTTATGTTTATCTTTTAAAGTTTGGAAATGATTCAATGGAAACTAAGGCTTTTTCCCTAATTTGTGGGACCCTGACTTTATATTTTGTTATCTTTACCTATATGTTTGGACCAGAATTGGCTAAAATCGTTGGCTTCTATAAGCTGTAAAAAATTGAGATTTTAATATATACTGAAAGCAGTCTAAAGTACATTGTTGTATAAAGCACTTTGAATGCTCAGGTAGAGTAAAAAAAGTACAAGATAAGAACCAGTCTATTTACCATGCAGTGTGTGATTTTTGCAAAACTTCATGGCATTATTCTGATGTCATAGGTCATCGCATAGAAAAAATAGAACCATAAAAAACCATAAAATAGTGGTTTATATAACATTTTTACTGATTTTCACATGTGCTGTGTCCTTGACCCAATTTTCACCTAAGTTAAATCAGCTCAAACTGTTACTGGTATTGACCATTACACAAAGTCTGAAAATGATATCTTGAATACTGTCGCTAAGACATATATATGTGTTTAATTTTGGGTTTTTTCCCTCTTTAATTCTGGGTGCATGCTAGCAATGGTTAGAAAATAACTTTTAATGTAGTTGCTGTTATATTGTTGTTATCATATTGGAAGTTTTTATACTTCTAACATGA